GTAATATATTTTTAAAAGTCTTCTAAGATGATGTTTATAAAAACTTCTGGACTTGAATCATTATAGATTTTACTTGCAATCACTTTCAGTCCAATGATCATGATCATGATCATGGTGGTAAAGTTGCTTCTGAGCATACCCTTATGGCTTACGAGGGGCTTTTTTCTTCAACCAAATTTTGAAATCACAAACTATCAATTACCAGAGCAAACTTCCAAATCACAAACTACCAATTATCTGAGCAAACTTCAAATCACAAATTATCAACTAATAGAGAAAACTTTCATATCATAAACTATCAACTACCAAATTAAAATTCCAAATCACAAATTGTCAACTATCAGAGCAAACTTTGAAATCACAAACTATCAATTACCAGGGCAAACTTCCAAATCATAAACTATCAACTATCAGAGCAAACTTCAAATCACAAACTATCAACTTCAGAACAAACTTCCAAATCACAAACTATCAACTACCAAATTAAAGTTCCAATTCACAAACTTTTAACTATCAGAGCAAACTTCCAAATCACAAACTATCAACAACCAGAGCAAACTATCAAATCACAACTATCAATTACCAGAGCAAACTTCCAAATCACAAACTACCAACTATCACAGCAAATTTTGAAATCACAAACTATCAATTACCAGAGCAAACTTTCAAATCACAAACTACCAACTATTAGAACAAACTTCAAATCAAAAACTATCACTACCAGAGCAAACTTCCATATAACAAACTATCAACTATCAGAGCAAACTTTAAATCACAAACTATCAATTACCAGAGCAAATTTCTAAATCACAAACTATCAACTATCAAATTAAGCTTCCAAATCTCAAACAATCAACTATCAGAGAAAACTTTGAAGTCACAAACTATCAATTACCAGAGCAAACTTCCAAATCACAAACTATCAACTATCAGAGCAAACTTCAAATCACAAAATATCAATTACCAGAGCAAATTTCCAAATCACAAACTATCAACTATCAAATTAAACTTCCAAATCTCAAACTATCAACTATCAGATAAAACTTTGAAGTCACAAACTATCAATTACCAGAGAAAACTTTCAAATCACAAACAACCAACGACCAGAGCAGCTAATTTCTCAGGGTCAAGCAGCCACAGCAGATAGTTTCTCAGGGTCAGTTTGCATGCCCTTTTCAGAAATGACATGTCCTAAGTATTCAACTTCTCTTTTAGCAAATGAGCATTTACTAAACTTGGCTAACAACTTATTACTCCTCATGATCTCCAAAACCTCTCTTAAATGTCTCCAATGGCTATCTAGGGAAGGGCTGTATATCAAAATGTCATTAAAAAAGACAAGGACAGTCTTCCTAATCAATGGTTTGAATACATGATTCATAAGGGATTGGAAGGTGGCTGGTGCATTGGTTAACCTAACTGGAATTACCTTGAACTCATATAACCCCTGATGTGTTCTAAAATCTGTCTTATACTCCTCCCCTTCTTTCATTCTCACTTGGTGATAACCAGCTCTCAGATCCAACTTGGTAAAAACATTTGCAGTGGCCAATTTTGAAAATAGATCCTCAATAAGTGGTATAGGGAACTTGTTTTTAATGGTGATTCCATTCAATGCTCTATAGTCCACACAGAATCTCCATGTATTGTCCTTCTTTGGGACTAATAGCACTAGTGAGGCAAAATGGGAAGTGCTATATGAGATGATGCCTGCTGTAAGCATCTCTTCCACCATTTTCTCAATTGTATTCTTCTGCAAATAGAAGTATATGTAAGGTTTTGAGTTAACAGGTTTGGCTCATGGGGTTAAAGGAATCTCATGATCAAACTGTCTTAGAGATGGTAGGGCTTTTGGCTCCTCAAACAACTCTTAGAACTCATGTAAGATGACAGCCAGTTCAGGGTGTCTGCTTTCTGTCATCTCTGATATATTGATACTTTGAATCATGCCCTGCAATAGATACCCTTGCACCCCTTTTTTCTTCCACCTCCTGATATCCTTCTTATTGGCCTGTTGCAACACAATACTCTTGGTCAATCCTTTTAGTATCACTCTTTTTCCTTCCTTATGGAATGATATTCCAGGAGGCCTGGTATGTAGCTGGATTGGAGCATAGGAGTCAATCCAGTCCATCCCTAAGACTATATCACAACCCTCCAGCTTAAGGACCCTTAGATCCTTCTCAAAATTCTCCTTCTGGACCTGTCATTTTAGGCCTCTACAAACTGAATCACAAGCCATCTTTTCCCCATTGGTCACTGTAACCATAAGGGCCTTAGCCTTATCAGGGATAATCCTCAATTGATCAAGCACCTTGGGATCAACAAAATTGTGGGTGCTACCACTATCCACCAATATGGTACGTAACTGGCTGCTTACTAATAATGCCTAACATCTTAATGGTGTTCAGCCCTTCTCCTCCAATTACAGCATTCAAAGTCACCTCAACCACTTCTTCATCTGGTGTTACTAAGGTTTCAGTTTCCACATTTTGGTCCCCACTAAATTCCTCTTCATTTCCCTGGAATTCAGCTCCTTCTATGATGTTGAAGGTTTTTACACTTGTGCCCAGGGCTCTAAGGTTCAAAGCACCTAAAGCACCTATTTTGTTCCCTAAGTTGATCCATGAATCTACTAATTTCAGGAGTTCTGCCATTGGATTGAAGGGTATTTGAGGTTGTGGTTCTGGTTGGCTTGGGGTTTAATTGGCTCACTTTGTCTAGGGTTGAAAGGTCTAGTAATTGGATGGGTTCTTTGGGCAGTGTAGGTTGATTTTTGGATAAAATGGGAAGTGGTTTTCTGAGGTTCACTCATTTTAAGTCCCTTCTCAAATTGCCTTACTAATCAGATTGCATCCTCCAGGTTAGCAGGTCTAGAGGTTCTCACAAAACACCTTAGTTGTTGCTTCAATCACACCACAAAACTATCTAAGAAGTATTGATCAGTCAGGTAAGGATAAATCTGCAACAACAACCCTTTGTATTCCTCATATTTGTCAAAAAAATCAATCACATTTCCCCACTGCTTAAAATTAGAAAATTCCTCAATCACATCTACATTACTGTCCCAGAATCTCTTGAACACAACTCTTGCAAACATAGGCCATTGGAATCTTTCCCTTAGGTCATTCAGATATCCCTCATACCACAGTGCCATCCCAGTTAAATTCACACATAATCATGGTTGTAGTAGGTGCTAGGCGCTAGGCGGCGCTAGGCGGGCGCCAAAAAAACAGTGGTAGACTTGCAGTTTGACAATTTTAATGAGGTTGTTTTCAACATTTAATCAAATAACACATCCAAATAAATAAATTAATGATAATTCATAAGTCATAACATCAAAAAAATGGTTTTAAAAAAAAAACATTAAAACAATATTAAAAATTAAAAATACTCAAATACTTCAATCATCAAAAGATTCAAAGTATCAAACTAGTCTATGACCGAGTGTATATATGTCATATTATATATATGTATGCGTGTGCGTGCCCGCGCACACACACACACACATATATAATAAAAAGAATAGGCCGAGCCGATCGGGTTAACTCGACCGATATGGACGAGTTAACTCGACCGATATGGACGAGTTAACTCGACTAACTTAGACGCTAGGCGGCCAAATCGGTCGAGTTAGGCGCTAGGCGGACGCCTAGGGGGGAAATCGCCACGGTCTAGAAGCGCCTAGCGCCTAGACCAATTTTTACAACCCTGCACATAATACATGCATAATTTCATCTCTGGGAATCCTAGCTAACATAAAGAACCTCTCACATCTCACTGCCCACAACCTGGGGTTTTCATAATCAAAGACAGGAAACTCTTTTTTGTACCTCATTAAATGTTCACCTCCATGATTGTGGTGTCCTGGCCTGGCATAAAAGTTAACCCTCCTAGGAGCCCCTGGTCTGTCTGTATTCATGGGGTTCACTTGGTGGCCAAACTGACTTTCATCATGGCCTTCATCTCCATCAGACACTTCCTGCACCTCAGCCTGATCTTCCATTATTGGCTCCTTCCCGGATCAACACTTCCCTCACCAGGACTGGGTTGCTGAGGATAGACCTGACCTTGTACTGAGTGAGGATCCATGGTTGGTGGGGGTAGCCCGTTCAATAACCTTAGCAACTCCATAATCTCATCCTTCCAGCCCACCATATGAGCCTTAAGCTCTTGGAAGGAATCTGGCCTCAAGGTTTTGCTGACCGAAAGTTATCCTACTGTTTTGCTCTATAGCTATAGCTTCTAGTCTGCTCAACCTATCTTCCACTGAAGTCGTAGAGGGGGTTCCTATGATAGGGTTCTGATACCAAATGTCACACACTTGGAATTTTGACAAGAAACACAGCAGAAAAAGATAGAGAAGAAGAGAAGAAAAAGGTAGAGTTTGAGAGAAAAAATGGAAAGGAATTAGGGTTTTTGATTTCTCAACATCCAAAACATTAAAAAAAACTTCTAAAATCTTCAATAATATAAAAGACAACAAGGCAAAAACTTCCAAAATCTACACTAACAACCTCCGGATTTCCAGCAGTTGCTATCTCCATTTCGGCAAAACTTCTTAAACGACGTCACACGAGGAGTTCGTTCAACAACCAAGCTTCACACGATGTCGTTTCTCTTTATTTAAAACTGTCTCCAACGGCTAGCTTCTTGCGACGTCGTTTGGTTAAGTGATAACGGCTTTTTTTTAATTTCAGCTTCAAACGTCGTCGTATTGGTCCCTCGACTTTACCTAAACACTTAGCTTGAAAAACACCCTTTTTCTGTCTCTTGAAACTCACATCCATGCTCCATGCCTTCCTCTCCACTGGCCAAGGCCATGACACTTCGAATTTCGAAAGCTCTATTTATCTCCGGTAGTCCTATGTCGAGAAAGAATGGAGATGAAAGTGCATGAATCCGTATGGTGAGGCGATGGTGCGACGAATGATGGCAACAACAACGAGCAGATTGGCGATCTCAAACATGCGTCTTCCATCGGAAAAGTACATAATTTAATTTTTCAGTTATTATTTTAAAAATTTGAGGGTAAATTTATCTTTTCAGTTATATTTCGCTCGGCAATTTGACCGTATGAGCCAAAAGTAATAAAAATTGAATAGTTATATGGTACTAAATTGTTAGTTTTTAAAGTCGTGGATTGAAATTAACAACACCGCAATAGTCACAGGACCAAAAGTGTAATTACTCTTTCTCGTTATTTCTCCTTCTATATAAAATAAAGTTTCAATTGTGAATAAATGTACCTTGTGGCATGCCAGATTGGGGCACGCCTCATACTCTAAAATAAAGATTTGATTTGTGATTGTTGTCATTTTGCTAAACTGAAGAGGCTTCCCTTTCAATCTAGTACTTCTGTTTCAGCTAGTTGTTTTGATTTGTTGTACATGGATATATTGGGCCCTTACAAAGTTGCTACTATCCATGGCCATTATTATTTCCTTACCATATTAGATGATCATCTAATCGTTATGTTGTGCATCCGTATGCACCATGTCCGTATGCACCATGCATGGTGCATACGGATGTCAAAACGACGTCGTTTTATTAAAAAACGCGCGTCTCTCCTTTAAAAAAAATTCAGGTTCGATTCCCAGCAACAACATTATATTGTTCATTCATTCTGGAATTTTAGTTCATAGATTATGGAATTATAGGTCATTGATTATGGAATTATAGTTCATCGATTATGGAATTGTAGTTCATCGATTCTGAAATTTTAGTTTATAGATTATGGAATTTTAGTTCATTCATTCTGGAATTTTTAGTTCATAGATTAGATTATGGAATTATAGTTCATGGATTATGGAATTATAGTTCATCGATTATGGAATTTTAGTTCATATGTTGTTGCTGGGAATCAAACCTGATATTTTTTTTAAGGGGAGACGCACGTTTTATTAAAACGAAGTCGTTTTTGCATCCGTATGCATATGGATGCACAGCATAATTTGCCATGATCATCACAATAGAGCAGTGTGGGTACACCTAATAAAGAGGAAATTTGAAGTCAGGATTCTCAGGAACATGATCATAGGCTTTTGCAACCTGATTGAAAATAAGTTTGGAGCTCATGTGAAGTGTATAAGGCCAGACAATGATTTCGAATTGATATTAAATTTTCTATAATAAGTATTACAATTTTTATCATAAGTAACAAATAACTATTCTAGATTCGATCGATCACAAGCATCTTCTAACACAAATGTGACTCTTCTTGAAAAAGGTTATTTATGAGATAGATCTAGCCTCCCATAGCATAGATTAATTTAATCATGCTCTTAGTTAAGTGATCGTTCTACTGTTCCCATCTGTTTTCGTTAGGTGTTTGATGAAACTAATCCATTTGTTGAATGAGCTGAGAAAGTTGCAATTGGAAATTGAAAGTCACTGAAGTACGTTCACTACCTATGAATATAATGAATTCTATTTCCCATGTTTGTTTGGAGATATTAATTAGTTAGAATGTGTTGCAATTTTCCCTTTCAACTAAGGGTTTTCACAAAACTAAAAGTGTAAATTAAAGAACGCTTCACATTCAGAAATTAATGAAAACATTTAATTTTTGAGTAGTTTAAACATGTGATCTCTTTTGGTTAGAAACATTTAATTTAATTTGCAATATGTATAAAATTAAAGCAAGTTAAAATTAAATAATTTTATTTTATTTCTCTAATGCAAATTAATGAATATGAAATCTTTTCCCCTTTATGCGTATTGGAGAAAAGAGATAATATTCAAATAGGAAATGTGATCAAATCATTATAAACAAAAAAAAAAAAAAATCAATATGGTGAGGATGGCAATTTCTTATTGGCCAAAAAGTGGGTAACTAGCTGATGTGCTTCCCTTGGCTTGAAAGTTGGAACCTCGTGCCCTGCTCCTCTAATCGTCGCAAACATTAGTCCTTCGTAAACAATTGTCCACCCCCCAACCTAAGCAAAATTAAAATAAGAAAAAAATTTTAAAAAAATTTTTTTAATATACATTTTAATTAGTTGGTCCATGAGATCGAAACGAAAAGAACCCAAAAAACAAATGGAAAAATGAACAATTAGTCTACCAAATATGCATGCTAGCAATATTGAAATAGAAATTAAAGTAGTTATAGGTATAAAATTTATTTACCTGTTGATTATCAGTGTACCAAGGAGTCCAATCTTCAGTGATATTGAACCCAAGTTTTTTGAGACTATACCTTGTTGAAGTTACTGGTACCCTTCCATCAGTATCTCCACTGTTTTTTCATACATATCACAACACATTAAGGATTAAAAATAACGATATTGGAAATTAACCCTAGTCAAGATGGCTAAGAATACAAACTTGTAATTATATGGTCGCGAGTTCAAATTTAAGCTCTCTTGGTTTAAACCAGTAAACTATGGGCAACTTAAATTGGTTTACCTACTTGTGATTCTTTATTAGTTAGTTAGTGTCATAAGATAAGTTTACCATGTGCACACTTTCGGATAGTAGCTGCGGATTTCTCTCGTCACTCAAAAATAATGACAGTTTTTTTATGATGTTTTACATACCAAAATTGTATGTACTTGCTAGTTTACACCAGAAACTTTTTTTTAAAATTATATATATGATGGTCATAATTATAACTGTAGCAGCATTCAATATTAATAAATTATTCTGTAATATGTAATATTTTTATTAATTATTTTTATGAGTAATACCTGAAAACCCAAATGCGCAAACCCGCTGCTGCAAGTTTCCTGATTATAGGAAGAATGGTGGTTGGTGCATCTTTCCATGTATTGATAATGTCGCTGCAAAAAATGGACTTAGCAGTTCAGGGTTAATAGAACAAATTGAGAACTAGTCTAAGGATTTATTTTCTTTTTAAAATGTAAGAAAAAAAAAAATTTAGTTTCTGAAAGCAAAGTAGGCTCTACCCGTTAAAAGATAGAATTTACTATATTTTGATGAAGATGGAATGACATTTACAACTTCTAAGAACTGCGCTAGGGTTAAAAGGACCCCTAATGAATGATGTATAATTGATAACAAAAACAAATCTTTTCATCCCAAAGTTGAATTCCCAACCTAAGTGTTCCCACACACCGTCTCCAGACAAAACATTTGGAAAGATGAATTACGATAACTCAGTGGACCAAATAACAGTGTGCATAAGGGATCTGCCCACAGTGGATAAGGATTAGCTCATTTTCGACATAATTCCCACACTGACATGGGTAGGGATCAGCCAACTTTGGAGATAATTCCCACGCTACTTCATTGCCCTAAGTAGACATATTCCCTACACTGTCCTTACTGAGTTTCAAATCTTGACCGCAACTCTCAAATACTGCTTACTGAACTAGTGAGTTAAGCCATGCGGATAAAAAAAAAAAAAAAGCTTTTTTCCCTAGAATGTATGTATATATAGTACCTGCAATGAGCCCATGGATAGGAAATCCCAGTTACGTTGGCATGAAGTGCCTTCTGGACATCAGGTCTGTTGAGATATGCTTCTGTATAATCAGACGCACATGGGTCGTAACCTGATGGTTTCTTGTGCCATCCAGCCTACATATATATATTTATATCCAAATTAATATTTTAGCTAATAAGCTACTATATATCTTTTAGTTGGGAATTGAATGAGATGAAGATGGAGAATATATGAATGAATGACCATTTTGGAGAAAACATGAGGGGCGATTCCTCGTACGACAGGAACCGACTTCCTCGTGGCGGTGCTGTTTTTGTTGCTGACACAGGTTGGGGTGTACAAGCTGTACATATCAATAATGTCGTAAACGGCGAAGTAGTTGTTGAGCTGGGCGTCGCATTCGGCGGAAGAGGTGGTGGCGCTGAAGTTGCAGGCGGCTTTGATGTCATCGCGGAGGCGGTCGGAGATGACGGCGTGATGCCATGCGTAGTCTATCAACCCTGTTTGGTCTGATTCGTCGTCCAACACCGCATTCCCTATCTGCAATATAATATATTATTATTATTATTATTATTATTATAATATAATATATAATTATCCATTTCCACAACTACATATTTATTTAGTTTTTTTGTTAGATGGTGATATGTCCTAATTATATAAGACACTTTTAAGTTTGTATTTAGACTAATCTCTATTTAGACCAGACCGATCTAATTAAGGTTGTTTTTATGCCTTTATCCCTGCAATAGTACTTTCAGTTTCAAAATCGAATCTTATTTCAACGGAATCAAATTTACAATTCGTTCACAGTTTTCTATATATTCATTCTCTCTTCACTCATTGCATTGTACTTTTACAACACTTTCAAAGACTAGCAATCCTTAGTACTGCATACTTCTCATCCTATTGAAATATGTAGGAAGAGTCAATGTCTCATTGAGGTTTAAACCTGTGACCTCCCATTTGAGAGAGCTACAGAGGTATTATTGAGCTACAATCGACTTACTAAAAATATAAAAGTACAAAAGGCTCTCATATGAAAGCTTTCAAGCTTATATGGCTTTAAAAAATTAAAATCAAAAGAAATTTTTTATATAGGCTTGAAAATGAGTGAATTGCAAGGGTAATTTCAACCTAAGGAGTAAAATGCTGGTCGTATTAGTTTTTAATATGAGAGGCTCGGTCTCTCTTAAGGTATGAGAGTATACGATCACTCACGCTAACTAAGTTGGTTATTTAATCATATAAAAAACTATCCCACCTCATGCATCTATTATATTAATGAAGCTATACAATACAATACAATACAAAAGATGATGAAGAGGAAAATTTTATGCATAATGCATACCAGCAGACCCTTGAAGTTTATTAGATCAACCTCTGGAACAACTTTGTTCTTGTCATAGATAAGTTCTGAGAGTTGAGGAACATAGTGGCCTACAAGAGTACGTTCAGGCAATTTTATGAGTTTATTGCCAATATCAATTAAAAGGTTATTAATTGTAATTAATTATTTAATAAATAAGACATCATAATAAGTCGATCCATAAAATATTCATCATGAAAATCCAAAGTGTTGGTCTGTACCTGCATAACTTTCTCCAGCAATGTAGAATTCATGGGACTTGAATTGTGGGAATCTTTGAAACCATTTGAGTAGAAATCTATATGAATCATGAGCTGATAACAAATAAAAATGGATGTTAAAATTAGTCCTATTATTATGGCAGCAAAATAAATAAATAAATGAATAATTATTGAAATTTTGCAACAAATGAGCATTATGAAATAAACCTGCAAATTTGTCGCCTAGTCGACCGATATCACTGCTGGTGTTTGTGTATGAAAATCCAACACCCACGGGCTGCTCTAGAAACAACAAATTGGCCGCTGGAGAAAAATAATAAGACCAACATCGTTTAGTAGGGATGTCCGTCACCGAGGGATATCTCAATGATCAAAAAGTTCAGTGTAGGAGTAATGTCCCAACAAATACTTAAGTTCACATTTTCAATGGGGATGATAGGATCCCATGGAAAGAAAGCAAGTACTTAGACCATGTGCCACTGAAATGTATCCCACAATTTACCACTTCTCGTCCAACCCAGGCTATGTGATAAGCGGCCTTCAAGTTTAGGGTTTTAACCTATATTTTTAGGCGAGTCGCTTTTTGAAAGAATGGTTAGAACATTTATCATATCACTTTTGTTGTTCTTTTGAAAACTATTTGTTTAAAGGGAATCACTCTTTTGGTGCGGTCTCTCAGTTGTTTTGCAATTGTCACTTTAGTGCATAATTTTTAATATAGTGTCAAATTGACCCTTTAATTGTTTTAAATTTCATCAATTAAATCCCCAAGTCACTAATTTGGTAACTAACAGTGAATTGACGGAATAATGGCTAGGGGACTTAATTAATGAAATTTAAAATAATTAGAGGGTCAATTCTACCAAATTAAAAAATGAAGGACTAAATTGACAGTTGCAAAATAATTGAGAAATCAAAATTGTGATTATTCCATTTTTAAATTACAATCGGAGTAATTGCAATCGTTGGTTTTTCATGTGAATTGCAAAAGTTTTAACTAATTGAATAAAAATTTGGTGAAAAATTGAAAATGATACAACAAACGAAGAAACTCAATAACTCCAATCTCACCATTCTTCCTGCAGACGCACCGCGCGCAACCATAATCTAATTATACCATATTATTTTATTTCATATGGTTATGTCTAAATATTAAGGCATAACTTTAATTATATTGAAAAATGAAATTAAGCAATGTATATAATGATATAAACCTGTATTCCAAGAGTGGTTGTTGAACCTCAGCTCTGGTTTCCCTTTTTGTGAGAGGAAAGGTCCCAACTCCTCTAAAAGACCATATCCTACTGATGAACATCCTGGCCCTAAAATGGTGAAATAATTAAGCTCAAATTAAAACTCCATTATTCCAACAAAAAATTATAAACCTTTATGCATGGAGTTAAAATTTTCAATCAGTATATTAAAGGAAAAATCTATATTATATTATACTAAAATTATATTACATTCATAAAATTATATTACTAATTAATTTTTATATAGAATTTTCCTTTTATATATTGATGATTGCAATTAATTAATTAATTATACTAAAATTATATTACATTCGATAATTTGAAAAAAAAAAATGCTTTTTCAAAACTATTTTTTTATTCATTATTTGTTAAATGACTTAAAAAAAAAATCTGTTATTGAATATTGATTTACATAACACGCATTGCCCCATGAAGACCCCAAATACACTCCATATGGAATGTCATTTTCAATTTAATTTATTAAATAAAATAGCAATATAAATACTTATTTTAATTAAAATTAATTAAATATTAGCCAATAATACTTAATGTCCGTATATTTCAAGAAACCAAATGCGTTACTTGTGCGTCACTAATGGAAAAGGACCGGCTAGCTTATGATCAAAGTTTAGTTCTTATGAACAATTAATAATTAATTAACAATTTTTTAATTTAATAAAATTATAAAATCTGCAGATAATGAAATAGAATATTTGGATTCACGTGTAAACTTTTCTAAAAATTCTATATAAAAACTCATTAATTGCAATCAGTGTATATATAAAAGGAAAGTTCTACATAAAAATTAATTAATTAATTAATTTCAATCAGTATATTAAAGGAAAAATCTATACAAAAATTAATTAATTAATTGCAATCATCAATATATAAAAGGAAAATTCTATATAAAATTTAATTAATTGCAATCAGTGTATAAAAGGAAAATTCTACATAAAAATAAATAAATTAATTTCAATTAGTGTATAAAAGGAAAAATCTATATAAAAATTAATTAATTAATTGCAACCATCAGTATATAAAAGGACAATTCAATATAAAATTTAATTAAATGATTGCAATAACTATATAAAAGAAAAATTCTATATAAAATCACTAAGAACTTACCATAATATTTATTTAGGTAATAAACCAAAACCATGTGCATGCATATACAAATTATAATCATAAAAGTCAGTTTGTTGAATTCAATATTCTTATCCCTTGTGTCAAAAAGTTGCATGGAAATATCTATAGTAGTGGTGAGGCCCGTCAAAAAGTTGCATGGAATCAACAATTATAGTGGTGAGGCCTGCTCGATTATTGATCTCTTGTAACCAGTTGAACTATCCATAAAGGTTATATAATAAATAATGCTATTTTTACATACTGATTTTATCTACTAATAATTTTTTTATTGGTTACTGTGAATTGCTGATCACAACCCGCGTTAAAAAATAAAAATATTTATTAATCAAATATTACCAATAAAATGTGGTGTTACTTAGTATCATATAGAGTCAATTACAATTATAATTTGTTGATTATAATATTAATGAAATTTTAATTATTAAAAATAATCAAATTTAATTGCTCACTATTGAAAACCCACGATGAGAAACTAAAAATGATTGATTTTGAATGTAATTAATAATCTAGAAAATATTGAACTCAATGATAAACATTAAAAAAAAAGTCACAACACTGAATAGATTAAAATTAAATTTGAATTAACTGTGTAATATAATATAATATTACTCCGTAATTTATTGGCTAAAAATGAGTTAGGAATTAATATATATATATATATATATATATATATATATATATATATATAATTTCAATCACTGGTGGTTAACTAAGAACAAGTTGATAAATAATACAAGTAGCTAGTAGTCATAACATTTTGGAGTGTTGAAATTAAATAATTATTATCAAATCACAAAAGGGTATTGAGAATAATATTATTAAAGTTTAGAAATTAAATTACCTCCATTGAGCCATAAAACGAGAGGTTTATCCTCAGGGTTTTCCGTGGCCTCAAAGAACCAATAGAAAAGCGCTCTCCCATGCTTCTGGCTCACCCTAACATATCCGGCATATTGCCGGAAATTCACCGGCGGTGAGCCGGGGAGGCCGGTAACCCGGTCAGCCTCCTGTCGGGCCCACACCTCACTGCTAATGCCACTAAGTTGTGATCTACCCTCCCCTCCTATAACTCCAAAACTGAAGAACAGAACGACAGCAACAACAAAAGGGAAGCATGTCTGCATCATCCTATGTTTATGTTCCTTAACCTTAATGTGTGTATGCAAAGACACAATGGGTATATTTATATATATGCATTGAACTTTGAAAATTGTATATGATGCATTTTTAAGGTCTGATACAGATCAGATACACCTGTCAATTCAAGATTCATTGGACGATCCAATTTTGGATAAAAAATCATATAAATTATATATTTTTCTATGATGTCTCATTCTCAACTTAAATATGTAAATGATACTTTAATTTATAGTAAAAATATATTTGTTTAGTAATTGGATAATTATTTTGGTAAGTAATGTATTCATAAAAAATATAATTAATTACTTAATTTATTTAGTAATTAACGGTGTGGTGTAAAGCTAATTTGGTAAAAAAAAATTAGAGTACAATATTTTTAATATAATGTATAACTTGTCAAATATAAAATAATACAGCCATAATTCAGCAATATAATCTGCATTGGCTCTTATAAGTTATCTATATACTATAGACTATAAATTAGTATTTATATGCACAATAGGCGAAAGTAAATATCAAATATTGATGTTTAATGTTAAAATTAGGATTACATTACAATAGTTTTTATGTTCATATTTATAATATTTAATTATTATTTTTTAGTACATATATATTTTATCTGTTGGAAAACTTAGCTTAAAATGACATAAAATGGCATATTAAGTGGCTATTTTGTGGTACACTTATCAGTGGGGTCCACTTTCGATTTGAGTCGGGTCAAAGTGGATTCGGGTTCTTCGTAGTGAGACGAAGAGATTGATATATTGTACGCTCAAAACGGATAATGGGTGAATGAGATATTATTCTCAAAGTAGACCCATTTGAGTTGGGAAATGAAGGAAAAATAGTGGACTTTGTCCCATATTGGTTTGGAAACAAGATTTGCCCCCCTTATATACAAGAGCTCATTTGAAGCTTGTAGAATTGTATAGCATTGAGGTTCTCACGCGCGGGCGTGCGGGGGGGGGGGGTGTAAATCAAAATCCATTTGATATAGTCACTTGGCTTCGCCGACCGAGAGCACAACTCTTGTGCAACGGTGACCACGAGAGGTGCACTCTCGTGTTGCCTGGTTCGTGTGAACCTGCACCCCAACGGTCTGAAACCCGAAAGTTCAGAAGATTAAACTCATCTGTTAGTGGAATTAACACTGTTTTAATTCTAATTTTAAAACTGAGTTTAATTCTACTTAGTGGGTAGCTGTTACAGGTGTTACACAATTGATTTTAATATCAATTTAAGGGATGTTGAATGTTATCACTCCAACATCCCTATATAAATAGAGGTAGAGCAGTAGCATTTTATACAATGAAGAAACAAAGGAATTGCAGTAGCTTTATTCTCTCAAAACTCTGCTTCTACTCTCTTCTTTAGCCAACCAGTGTTCTAAGCTTTGCTTTGTTCGACAGGTTCCTTGTTTAGGTGCTTAAACAAGGAATCGTAGCACGTTTTATCCTGGGAAACCTAGGCTACAACGCTCCTAGCTAGCACTTGTGGGAGGTAGCAAATAAGGTTTTAAGGAAAAGAACATTACATTCAAACTCGTGTTAAACCTATACCCAAACACTCCATCTTTTCCTTCATAGATTTTTTTTTCTGTGTTCCCATAGAATAATAATCTTTCCGTAAGATTATTATTTTGAGATTTTTCAACCATATTACCCAACATTATCTATATGCATTTTTAGTAAAGATATGTTTGTCTAGCTAAATATGTAAATTATCTTTCACATATATAGTAAAATATATATATTTGGCTTACTATAGTATTTAATTAAGTAAATTATTTTGGTAAGTAATGTATTAAGGTGTACAATTAAGTAAATTTATTTAGGGTTCGTTTCGAAAATGACCCATTTTCGTAGAAAATATTTTCATAGATTTTTAATCGTAATACATTTTTTTTTGGTGAATACTCGTAATACATTTTCTAAATCTCTTTCTTGCGCTCAACTCTCTCTCCCTCTCTCCCTCTCTCCCTCTCAATGGTGTCAAATTGATAAGTTTGCCCGTCATATGTTTGGTTATTACTTAAATTGAGCTAAACTAACCTAATTAACATATGGGTCAAGTTAAGTTGGGTCAAACAATCAAATCTTAACCCTCCCTCGATCATAAACCAATAGTTTTAAAAAATTAAAATTATTATTCATTTTCTTTAGTTATAGGTATTACATTTATCGCTTTCAAAAAGGTATTACATTTATCAATACTTGATTAATAATGGGTTAGATTCGGTTAGACCAAACAATAAAAATCTTAAAATGTCTCACAATTTTTTTATTATTATTTAATTCAAGCTTGTTTTTCTTCAATTTTTTAATTTATAATTATTATATTTATCACTGTTCGATTAAATAGAACAAATTGCACTTTTGGTCCTGTGACTATTAGGGTACTGATAATTTGAGTACGTAACTTACAAAACTCTCAATTTAAACCTTTAACTATGCAATTATTAGCAGATTTGGTCCTGCCGGCCAATTTTGGCCGGAAAAACATAAATTGGTTCAAATTGTTTTTTGACGAGGGTAAAATTGTCATTTCACTCTCTTCTTCTTCATTCTCCCCCTTCTTCTTCGTTCTTCTTCTTCTTCATCCTTGCAATTGTTGGTTTTCTGGTCACCAAAAAAACATTAAAATGAATGGGTAGTAAAGAAAATAAAAATAAAAATAAGAAATTCATATTAATGGCCAAATGGAATCAACGCATTCAAATTTCTTCGTTTCAACGTCGCCGGCAAAGCCATCGTGCCCGGCCGGCGCCTCGTCATCCTCGCTGGTGTAGTCCTCGTGCTTGGGCACCGGAGCGATCAATCTCCGATCATCGGCGTTCGAGTTTCGTGGGCTCACCCTCGGCTGTCCCGTCTCCCCGCCGCCGCCGCTGCGCGACAGATTCACCAGCCATTTCTGCGCATCATCCCACTTCGAGGGAGTGGGTTTCGCCGACGTTGCCCGTGGATGAGAATGGCGATTCCCCCCGCCACCGCCGGCGGCGGCGGCGGCGATTCCTTTCTGAAACTCAAACCCCATATTTCCCCCGCCGCCAGAATCTTGCCTCTGTCCATAACTCAAACACCCTTTATCCTCAACGGATCTCATCTCTACTTCCTTAAAATCCCAGAAATCACAACAACAATATCCTAATTAGAAGAAAACACTGGTGTAATTAACCTCAATATTCTCGAAATAGCAGAAAAAAACCCTCTGATAATCTCACAACAAGAAAAATGCACATAGACAACGGTTAATAACCGTTGTCGTAGGGGTATAATTTCTGTTGTTGAAGCCGGTGTTGTTGTAAGTCCCGCGCATAGACAACGGTTTTTTAACCGTTGTCTTTTCTAGAAACAACAACGGTTTTTAACCGTTGTCTATTAAGTGTTGTTGTAGCTGGTGTTGTTGTAAGTCACGCACATAGACAACGGTTAATAACCGTTGTCTTTTCTAGAAACAACAACGGTTTTTTAACCATTGTCTATTAAGTGTTGTTGAAGCCGGTGTTGTTGTATGTCACGCACATAGACAACGGTTAATAACCGTTGTCTTTTCTAGAAACAACAACGGTTTTTTAACCGTTGTCTATTAAGTGTTGTTGAAGCCAGTGTTGTTGTATGTCACGCACATAGACAACGGTTAATAACCGTTGTCTTTTCTAGAAACGACAACGGTTTTTTAACCGTTGTCTATTAAGTGTTGTTGAAACCGGTGTTGTTATATGTCACGCACATAGACAATGGTTAATAACCGTTGTCTTTTCTAGAAACGACAACGGTTTTTTAACCGTTGTCTATTAAGTGTTGTTGAAACCGGTGTTGTTAAAAGTCACGAACATAGACAACGGTTTTAAACCGTTGTCGTTTCTTCCAAAGACAACGGTTTTTGACCCGTTGTTAATTCAATGTTGTTGAAACTGGTGTTGTTAAAAGTGATGCACATAGACAACGGTTTTTAACTGTTGTCTTTTCTTTGAAAGACAACAGTTATAAAATGTTGTCTATTGTGTGTTGTTGAAATCGCTGTTGTTAAAAGTCGCACCCATAAACTGTTGTCTATTGTAAAATAGACAACGTTTAACCGTTGTCTCAACTCGTTTTTAACCTGCTTAAATTTTAATCATATAAAAAAAATAGAAGCATTTATCCATTCACCATGGCCAAGTGCAGTTACATTGCACAAGCTAAGCAAGGTTCATAATAACAAGTCAAAATACTGAACATGACCAATTCTAATCAAATCATCATCCAAGTCATAATACTACAAAAAACAATTCCGATCCACACACCAAGTCTAAATGATCACAACGTCAAATCATACCTACTCTATATAACTTGATAGAATATCAGCCCATTCTGAACGCACTAGATCAATAACCGCTTTGTCATAATCAACTTGTTGGAACTACATGTAAATAGTGAGTAAATAAATTAGTATAGATATAATAAATTTGTAAAATAATTATATGATTTTTGACAAGACCATGACAACAACAACAAAATTAACAGATACTTAAAAAACATGCAAAATATTATTATAAGAAATAACAAACAATAATCATTGAGAGCAATTTACCTTGCTCAATGAACACAGAGAGGCCAAAATCAGTTGCCTTCAAAACAATCTGCCAAAAGCTTAAGGAGTTCCAAATGTTCAAAATTGTTCTTGTAGCTGTTGGTGGAGAGAAAATTGAGCACTCATGAGAAATACCAAGTGACCAATACATTATAGATAATACTATGTGCTGCCTTCTGTTATTAGATGTATGTATCAGAAAAAGTAAAGTATCAAACTCGGATTTTCTACCATGCAACATAGTTACCCTTAAAGATGTAAATCCATACCTCCCGTTTCTTTGCAAGTTCTTCAGTCTCCTCAAACTCAATATCAAGCTTTTTTCGCTGGATGTTTTCTTCTTATGTAAAATAATCATCTTCCTCTTGCTTTCCAAGCCCTAATTTTGCATCTCGTATCCCGGACTTTATTGGCTCGATGATGCCTTGAAACAAACAGATTGTAAAGAATTAAGAAAGAGACAAAAGCATTACCAAATATGGTTCTCCTCATCCATAAGAGTTAGATGCAAAGTGGACAAGAAATCAAGAAAATCATGCACAAATGGCATTTTGAAATTTGAAACTAATGCTAAGTTGTAAACAAATATTATCCTCTGGTAAAAGTTTGCTCAACTATTAGGTTGTTAACAATAGCATCCAAATACAGAGCTTTGAGTTTTAACATTGTTGGCGAAACTTCCTTTTCTAGACATTTGGCTCAGGTCAAATCTCATGCCCACTGATATACCAAAATGAGACCACAAAAAAAAAAAAAAAGGACCAATGCACACAAGTTTTGTGTGCAATTTAGTAGGAATTATACTGGGCAATGGAATTTCTGCATCTCATTCCAAAATCCCAAGTCGGAACCATATTTCAATTTTAGACCAACAATTAGAAGTCAGGAAAGAGGGGGAAACAATTACAGATACAATGGTTAGCAGAAAACTGAATTTCATATTTTTCAGTCCGCACTGATGAAACATTGCATGGTTAGCCTTCCAGAATTGATAGAATTCAGTGCAAACAGTTCATTCTTGCAGAAACAAAGTCAGGTTGGGAGGGAGTATGCAGTGTTTTCATGTACTAAAAACACTCAACAGAAAATGAAAATAAGAAATACTCAAAAACAGATCAGGCCAAGCCATCTAATAAAGGAAACACTTAAATGGTACACAGAAGGTAAACCAAGATAAAGGAGGGAATCAAATATGTGCATAAAGATATCAATGCTTTCCAGATCATCCTGTGAACAATTATACCTTGCTCATTTTTTCCAAGGCCCTTTCCTTTCCACCCCATTTTCTGAAGAAGCCTGAATCCGACATTGGATGATGTTAACTGTTTGTCTAATGGTGCTTGTTCAACATTTTCTAGATCGACATTTTCTGTTGGTCTGTGACTAATTGGTAGGCGAAAGTCCTCTGTGAGATCCTCAAGGATAGAAGCCTCATCTGCCTATGAGAAAACAAGTAGAGTTTGATGTCATGAAAAAAAATGGCAATATTTGAGAAAATTGCCAAAGAGTAATGCAATGTAAAGTCAAAAACTAGAACAGATCTCTGTATAGGCAACGTAAACATACACAGATCACTGCAAAGGTTTAATATATGAGGTTGCCTAACCATAATATATCTGTTGAGTTCAAGCATGACACATTTTAGAGTGCAGACAGTTTCACCAGCACCAAAAAACATACAGACAATAATTTTATACTCCGTATTTATCTAATATTTTGTTAAGTACAGAAAAACAAACAGAAATACAGTGTTATCTCTCAAAATAAAATGCCAAATAAATAAAAAAAAGTTTGACAAACCAAGAGAAGTGTGTACACATACCTCATTGTCATGCTGCTGATTGTCAGGTTGCATCCCTAGTTGACCATTAAACCATCTATTTTCCATTTGCTTAAAAATATTCAAGTAACAAGACAAATAATATAAACACTACAACTACAAAATCATTAATATAATGTGGCAAAAATAATGGAAAGACATATACATATATATGTGTAGTTGGCTTGGATGGCATTCTACGTAAAGGATCCTAAGAAAGAGGTAGTTAGGAAGGTTGGAAGGGGAAAGTACAGTTTTTGGGGGTACGTGTATGTATACAAGATCGAAACATGATCACAAAAAATAATGTGAATCGGAAAGATAATCAAGGCTTGTGTGATGCATAATTTTCTTTAAACAAATTGCTCATTCCTAAAGCATTAATTTATCCAAACTATGAGGTTCTAAAAAAAAAAAGAAGATGAAGGAACTATGAATGCAACAACTGACAAGTACTGTACTTAGCATTATTATTCTAAATTATGGCTGATAGTGCTGCATATATAAGATTAATTAAGCTTAAATTACTTTATGTGTTAGAATGTAAACCTCTAACTTTATGAAAAAGACAGAACTACCCTGCAAGTGCATGCCCCAGATTCCATGAGTCCACTCACCCCTATTAAACAATGTTGTGACTGCATTTTATATACCAATAATTAGAAGAGAAGGCACATGAGCTGTACCACATCTTGAGAGAAACTTGGTGGCCAATTAGTCGGTTTCAACATAGAAAGAAGAACTTATGAGAAAGACACCCAATGCTTTGAAAAGAGCATAGAAGAATACCAATGAAAAAAGATTCTCTCTTTCTCTACAACAATCCACATTTTTTACAGTCCAAAGTTTAAACAATAATAACACACTAGCCAAAGTAATTTAAGGTTTCCTCTAGGGTTTTGACTTTTGCAGCTCTGAACACCTTACCTCTTGTTCATACAATAATAGCTTATATATAAGAAGAAATCATTTAATAAATTCTCACTTCTCAGTAATATATACCCACAAAATTCAAGAAATTTTAAGTACAAAGAACAGCTCAGTTCAGACTTCAAAGTTCAATGTGTGAAATTCCTAACTAAGAGCTCAAGAAAACTAAAATGCATAAAAGAAAGTATACTAAAAAGGGCAATTTTTTTTCTCTCTGTATCTCTGTTTAATTTATTCAAGTCACTGGAAATAATCACAGCATTCATGGAGATATGTAATGCTTAAATTCCCTCAGACAAAAATAAATAATAAAAAATTACGTACAATCTTGCACATACATGTATATAGGTTGCCACCCCCATTACTTACAACAACCAACAAATTGTTTTACATATCTGTTCTTCACAAAAAATTTGCAGAAATTCAAACCCTAATTCCCCAACCCTAGCTTAAATCCAAAATTGTTTAGCATAAACACACACATTGATACAATCAGATAATTTTTGGATGAATTTGACAACTTATTAATTTTTGGATGAATTTGAAAGCTAACCTTAAAGTTTTTGGATGAATTTGAAAGCTAACCACGGTGGCGGCGGTTGGACCGACGGTGACAGAGGATGGAGGCGGCGATGGCGGCAGAGGTTGGACGAGGCGACGGCGTCGGAGGTTGGATGCGGCGGCGGCGTCTGAGGAGAACGGCGGTGGGCGGCGACCACTCTGACTGCGGAGATGGCTAGTAGCGGTCGGCGGAGAGCACTCTGACTGCGGAGAGGAACCTAAACTAACGAGAGTGACGGTCCGCGGAGAGGGAATTGAAGCTCACTGATCGATGACAATGGCGGGTCAGCGGAGTTGGTTCGGTGATGTCTAAGCAGAATTTTGTCTTAGTCAATGAAATTGAATTTCGTCCACAAACTTGCCAATGATGTCTTAGAGGGAAGAGAAAATTTTGGTTACCAATTTTGTGTTATAGGGAAATTTTATAGAGGGAAATTTTGTTTTAGAGGAAAATTTGGTAAGAAAATATTAGTTTTATTATCCTGGTTGTTAGATCCGGTCAATTAAAATACAATTGTTATGTCCTGGACCCGTGTACAGCCAACAGTGTGGACACAGTAACGGTGCCGTTAGTGGCACCGTTATCTTCCACTTTTTTTTTAAAAAAATAAAAAATAAAATTCAGACCGCTTATTATAGGAGCATACATAATCCGTAACTGTACATTCATAATTCAATAACTGTAAAGTCATAATTTTCGAAGCTCTATATATTCACAATTTTATAGCTCTATGTTCATAATTTTATCACTATATGTTCATAATTGTAAGTTCATAATGTCAGAGCTCTGTGTTCATAATTCCATAACTATACATTCATAATTCCATATTTGTACATTCATATATAATTCCATAACTGTACATTCATAAAGTCATAATTGTACATTCATAATCCCACAAACGAATAACGCCGTTAACGGCGAGACAAAATCAAAGTTCACTGAAAACGACGTCGTACGTTTTGGATTCGTGTCCACAATGCATTGTGGACACGGGCCTGAGGCATAATTTGCGATTAAAATAGTACCGGCTATATAGGTACATAACACGAGATTCATAGATTTCTTTAATGTAGATTCATAATTTCTATACAGTATATTTCTAATTTAAATACAATTGTATAGATTCATAATTGGGAATATGAACAACGCAAATTATGAACATAAAGTTCTGTAATTGCGAATATAGATCAGAGTTCAATCATTATGAATATGAATTTCAATTCAAAATTTATGAATATATAGTTCAGCTATTATGAACATAGAAGAGTGTGTACCATGCATGGTGCACATGGTTGCACAGCATAATTTGCCCTTTAGTACCCCGAGGTTTATTACCGACAACTCGCGGCCCAATTATATTACAAAGAGATCATGGCAAAAGAAATGGGATATAGCTAACCAATCGTTATGCTATGGACCCGTGTCCATAATGTAGTGTGGACATGGTAACGGTACCGTTAGTGGACTTTGATCACTGTACGACATAATTTGCGATAGCTAACTGTACGGCATCGATCAACTACTCTTTCATATTCATTCTCCACGTGTCTCAATTTTGGGTGCCCATTTTTTTTTTTTTAAAATATTATCGATATAATCTATTATTTTTTATACTTGATATTTTTATTTTTATTTTTTTGAATTCATAGATTGGTCTTAATTGTAATATAATTGAAAATAAAACTTTAATGAATTGACTTTGAAATTTTGGTGAATAATTTTATATTTAAATATGAACGAAAATAGAATTATTAAATTAACTTTTGAATTGTATTCTTTCTTTGTTAAATTTTTATGCAATATATTTGGACAAAAAATTTTAATTACATTTTTATTCTTGTTAACACTCAGGGTATAATAGTTAAAAGATAAGGTGTAACACTTTAGTATTAAAGAGTTGGTGTGGTTTGGTGGATTTCGCTTTGTTTGTTATGTTAAAGGTCTTGGGTTCTATTCTTTGTGGTGGCATCTTTAACCTATTTTATACAATGATTATCTTGGTTCTCAAAGACAACACATAAGCAAATTGGTTATATCAAGTATACTAGTTTACTCAAGTACATAAGTGTTGGTTTGGCTTGGTGGGTTTAGCTTAGTTTATTATCTTAGAGGTCATAGGTTTTATTCTTCCTAGGAGATCCTTCAACTATTTTCTAAAATTGTTTTCTTGGTTTTCACAAACAACACAGAAGCAACCCAGTCATATACGAAATGTTGCACATTCAAACACAAGAGTTTATGTTGCTTAGTTGGTTAGACTTTATTTATTAAGTTTGAGGTCAAAAGTTCAACTCTTGTTATTAACATCCTTGTTTTTGTTTTATACAACTGTTAAATAATGATGCGCAAAGACAACGGTTATAATAACCGTTGTCTTTGTAGTGTTGTGTATTCAAATACGCTTAAAGACAACATACCAAAGACAACGCGCAACGACAACGGTTATATAAAACCGTTGTCGTTGTAGTGTTGTGTATTCTAGTGCGCTTAAAGACAACACACCAACGACAACGGTTAAATAAAACCGTTGTCTTTTAAAAAAAAAAAAAGTGCACAAAGACAACAGTTTTAAACAACCGTTGTCTTTCTAGTGTTGTGTATTCTAATGCTCTTAAAGACAACACACCAACGACAACGGTTAAAAAAACCGTTGTCTTTTAAAAAAAAAAAACGCACATAGACAACGGTTTTAAAAAACCGTTGTCGTTGTGGTGTTGTCTTTTCACAAAATGCACAAAGACAACACACTTATAACAACGGTTAAGTAAAAACCGTTGTCTTTGACAAAAGTGTTGCATCAAAGACAACGGTTTTGGACCAAACTGTTGTCTTTTATACAAAAGACAACACTTTTCTTAAAAACTGTTGTCTTTCTAGTGTTGTCTATGTGCATTTTTCTTGTAGTGTCTTGGCTGAAAATCTCAACGTATTTATTCAAGATTATGCTGACACAGAGTGGCAGTGACAAAGCTAATTACTGTAAACTATAAAGCAATGTTTCATGGGAAAAAATATGGTAAAAAAAAAGAAAAAACCAACAACTGCAAGGATGAAGAAGAAGAAGAAGGACAAAGAAGAAGAAGGGGGAGAATGAAGAAGAAGAGAGTGAAATGACAATTTTACCCTCGTCAAAAAACAATTTGAACCAATTTATGTTTTTCCGGCCAAAATTAGCCGGCAATTTGGCCGGCAGGACAAAATCTGCTAATAATTGCATAGTTATAGGTTTAAATTGAGAGTTTTAAAAGTTACATACTCAAATTATCAGTACCCTAATAGTCACAGGACCAAAAGTGCAATTTGTTCGATTAAATATTAGTTAGACTAGATTGAACCAAACAATACAAATCTTGGCCTAGCAGGTCCATAACCCCAAAAAAAATTTAAATAGTAATTTTTTCTTTAATTTTTTTTTTTTAGTTTAGTGTTATTATATTTATCAACTGTATGTATTTATTTTATTATAATAACTTACAAGTAAAATGTTATTTATTTACATCTTTTTATTATAGCCATTGTTAATCTTTATAACTATTATAAATGTTTAATTTATAAATTTATTTTAATATAAGTGAAAT